AAATTAGGTAATCAATTATGAACGCAATAAAAAATAATCAATAACTCCCAAAGATCCTTATTTATATTATTTTTTGGTGAAAGCAATGGACGAAATTCGACTGGTTCTTTTCTGAAAATATTATTAAAAAGTTATTAATTCTAAGTCACCGCGTTATAACTTGTTATTAAATGCAGATTCGATGAGATCGATATAACCTTTTATTTTGGAGTATGACAACTGAAAAGTGCAAAAGAAGTTAATTAGTCGGCAGCTAATTTGGTGGTCGTTGCTGGTAGAAGCTACAGGGCAAACGGCTTATCCACAAGCCCTTCGTTTCTCATTCGCTCAGTTTCATCGCCCTTGTCGTAGCCTGTCGAAAGCTCGATCAATCTGTACTCGATAAAGCGAACCAGCGGAAAATAATGATTCATCGATTTGCGAAGACGTTCAGACATACAGACAGAGACGGACAGCCCGAAGGAGGTCATTGCGACGCAATTCGCTCAGCTGCGATCGACACGTTCGCCTGCGGTGATCGAAGTAAGTTTAAGTAAACGGTGGATCTAGCTGAGGAATAAGGGGATAAACCTTGGACCCGTCGAAGGGATCGTTCTTGAAGCTTATTTCAACAAGTAAGCATTTCTTATTGCTTGATTGCTTAAATACGTACGAAACGAGAATGACGTCTTACTTAACCTCTGATTTGTCATTCAGCGAAACTTCAAAATTTCAATGCCTCAGGATGATTGCACAGCAAAGTGAATCACAGTTTTGCGTGCTAAAGAAATATCTAAATTTGACCTATTGAAATTTGGCATAGCTAATGGTATAGCTTTATGAATATAAATATGAATATAACTTCGCGACGAGTCATATAACCGGTTAGGACATTTCCTTGCTCTCCGCACCTAATGCAAGGATAGATAGTGTTTCTTAGAAAAGTTGGTTTTTCATCTTCATTTTCTGAGGTTAACGGAGCTTAACGAAGACTTATAATATCTGACTGTTAGAAACGGTGCTGCAGATTAATATTAAACAAATTTCAATTCTTCGGAAAAGGTTATTCTCCTCTTCACATGCA